CAACGATGTGAGCAGGCTGAAGGAGTCCGGAAGATGGGAGGGATTCACCGAGTTCAGCACCAACTTCTTAAGAGCAGGCAGCTGCCCAAAACTTTCAGGCAGGCTGAAATCCCCCCTCGTTCCTAAAATCCTCAGGGTCTCTAATTGGCTCAGCAACGTGATGCTTTCAGGAAGAGATTGGAGAGTCTCACAACCGTTAATGTACAGCTCGCGCAGATTCGGCAGCCGATCTCCAATGTCGTCAGGAAGGCTTGCTAGTTGGTCTGGTCGGGTGATGAGGAGTTGTTCGAGGCTGGTGCATGGTGATTCTGGAGGGAACATTTGGTCGAACTGCGGAGATGCTGTTTGGATAGTCAGCGACTTCAGACAGGGTAGAACTTCTGCGATAGCTAGAGCAGTAGACGATTGATTACTTGAGACTACGCGGGTGCCGTGAGGAAACTGTAGGCTGGTGAGATTCGGAAGGCGAACGGGGGATGATAGCTGCTGGTAGTTCAAAAGCGGACAGGTAATCCAGCGAGTGCTAAGAGCAGAAAGGTTGACGATAGCAGGATCTTCTAGCGCTGAAGCATCGGGTAGAGTGAGTTTCTGCAGCCGCGTTAACTGGAAGAAAGAAGCCGGAAGTTTGACGTCTCGATGCAGGCAGCGTAACAGAAGCTGCTCCAGCTGGGTGCAACTCCGGAAGAAATGATCCAAGCCAGCTTCCGTCACGGGATGCAGATGCTTCCTCGCGTCATAATGATCTTGTGTGATCCGTTCCCCCACGTGAAGAGCCGTCAGCTTGGGACACGATGAGGCGAGGTGAAGCAGGAAGGCGTCATCTAGAGTCTCCACGCTCTCGTAGCAAAGATGGAGGTGCGTTAGGTTCGGAAAGCGAGAGACCGCGATGACGAGATTTTGGCGGGAAACGACGCGGACCGATCTGACCAGAAGCGTGGAGACGTGATGCTGGGAGAGAGAGCGCCAGCGACCACAGACGGACGCTACCCCGAGAGTCCACGCAGCATTGGTAAAGGCGGGAGGTGTAGGTAAAGGGCCGGAAGTTTCGCGGAAGTAGTCCTTAATATGCACTCCGGCAGTTGACTTCATCATCGAGTGCGTGAACTCTTGCATATCGTCGCTGTCGGTATCCCACGGCGGAAGCTGCTTGAATCGCCATAAGATCCTGACGAGGATCTCGTCAGGAAGACTGTAAATGTGCGTGCGAGACTTCACTTCAGCAGGACTCGATGTTACCGAGGCGAAACAGGTGGCCACAGTAGTCACACACGAACACGGGAGGAGCTGGGAGGATTTAGCTCTGGAGGATCTCTGAAGGCCGTTATAGGTGATCTGCGAGTTAGACTGGAGTTGAACGAGGGTGGGTACCTGGCTGGATGGGAGATATTCCCAAGGTGAGGGTGGAGCAATAGGTGAATCGGTTCGGTTCGGTTCGGAGGACCACGTTCGCCATCTGTCCTTCATCTGACCTGAAACAGCTGAATTGTACGCGGTAAGAAGAATGCATGTCACAAAACCAGTTATAGATTTACAGGTCGACAGCATTAACTGCTCAGTAGTTAAGTTGCTAGACATACCAGTACAAGTATTTCATTGGTCAAGTTGCCACATCAAACTTCCACCTGTTAGCAAGCCTAACAACAGACCAGCAAATCAGCTGGAAAATGAGGCCTGGACACCTCAAAGCACACTGAGAATGAGTAGTTCCTGCCTGGCCCCCTGTTGTCATCCACCTGATTGGTTGCCCACTTTGATTCCTAATAATATTCAGCTCTCCTGGTTATTGCTGGGTGTGTGTTACCAGCATGTCCTGACTACAGTAATGGTAATGGGTGTGATAATAACAGGTTTGTTACCAGCCACGACTGATGCACACAGCAGCACCACCAGAACCATTATCTCCAAGCCACAGCTCCATCTTCTATTCGCCAGCTGCTCAAATACTTCTCCAATCCCACACCTGACTGCTGCATCCATCCAAACTACTGCCACAGGCTATCTTTGAGTCGATTCTGAATGCCTCCCACAAACCAAATCCGGCTCCCACAGCAACATCAGTACCAGCAGCTGCTGCCCCAGCACTCCTTCCTGCAACAGCATCAGCAGCAGCCGCAGCTGCTCCCTTTCTCCTGCACATCCAGCTGCTGAAACGATTCCAGATGGGGCTGTAACAGCCCCCTCTCGCTCCTAACTTGAAGTCTCCTGTCCACCACAGCTTCCCAACCTGTTGGGGTGTCACCCTTAGCCTTCTGAGATATTTTCAGTAGCTTTAGTACCGCCCTCCTTTCCGTCATCTAAAGCCGAAGGCTGGCACCTGCAGCACCCCAACCGCTCTGCTCCATAAATACCCCTCCATCCCTGACACACAACTCCTCACTACGACGCCAGGGATTCTTGCAGGCTGTACAATCTCACGACTAAATCTTTCATTGTTGTAGGTCGGCATCTGGGGTCCTCCTGAACGCACTCCTTGGACAGCACATCCAGCATCCTCACCACCATGCCTTCTTCCCCCACCCCACCTCCTTCCCGCACCCACCTCTTCCCCCCTGCCACCCACTCCCTACTACACAACCCTCACTGCGACGCCAGGGACTCCTGCAGGCTGTATAATCTCACGACCAAATCTTTCATTGTGGGTCGGCATCTGGGGTCCTCCTGCACACATTCTTTCGCCAGAACATCCAACATGCGCACCACCATGCGTTTAGTCGGCTCGGCACAAGCAGTGCTGAGCTCATACTCCTCGATGCGCGGCTCTGCCCACGCAATCAGCCCACTCCCCCAGTCCCCTCTCCCCCGTACCCACTCCCCCGGTACCCACTCTCCCACTCCTCGCTACTGCGATGCCAGAGATTCTTGGAGACTGTATAGTCTCACCACCAGATCCTTCATAGTAGGTCGGCATCTGGGGTCCTCCTGAACGCACTCCTTGGCCAGCACATCCAGCATGCGCACCACCATGCGTTTAGTGGGCTCGGCGCAAGCAGCGCTGAGCTCGTACTCCTCGATGCGCGGCTCTGCCCACGCGATGAGCCCGTCCGCGCCCTCCCTGTCCGCCACCAGCGCGCCCCTGCGCCCCGTCAGCAGCTCGAATAGCACCACCCCGTAGTCAAACGCGTCCTTGGCCATGCCGTCCGGGCCTGGGGGTGGGGGAAACGGGCAGGGCGTGAAGAGCACAGGGAAGGACTGAGGTCAGGTGGTAGGGAAAGGAGAGAGTGTGAGCAACAAGCCTCTCCCCCCGTCAGCAGCTCGAACAGCACCACCTCGTAGTCAAACGCGTCCTTGGCCATGCTGTCTGTGCCTGGCGGAGGTGGGAGAGGGATGAGAAGGGGTGAGGGCAGGTGGGATGGGATGGAGAGTATGTGAGTGGAAAGCCCCTCCGCCTGATCAGCAGCTCGAATAGCACCACCCTGTTTTCAAACGCGTCCTTGGCCATGCCGCCCGGGCCTGGGAGGGGGCGAAAGGGAAGGGAGGAGCGAAAGAAATAAAAAGCATGGTCACAATGCTAGCGCGCACAGCACTAAAGTACTCATATTGAGCCAGCGAGCGTAACGTACCTTTGAGGTTCTTGCGTGTGCTGGTCTTGGACAGCATGGCTGCAAGGCCGTAGCCCGTCAGTGTCCAGCAGTTTGTGAGTCGAGTCAAAAGCAGCGAGAGAGTGAATCAAATAAATACCTTTGAGGTTCTTGCGTGTGCTGGTCTTGGACAGCATGGTTAGCATACAGTGTTCCGTCACTATCCGTCAGTCAGTCAGACGGCCCAGAAGCAGTGAGTGGGAATCCAGCAGCATCAGCACGATAAGTACCTTTGAGGTTCTTGCGAGTGCTTGTCTTGGACAGCATGGTCGCCAAACCATAGCCAGTCAACAGCACCGTAAAGTTCTGCCAAAAAAACAAAAAAAAACAAAAAAAAACAAAAAAAAAAAGACACAGGGAAGAAAGTTCAAGAGGATGGGGAAGAACTTAAAACTCCTGTCTCACAAGACATCATAGCACGTCAGCGCACTGTGAAGCTCTGGTGGGCAACGTGAAGGGAAAAACCCACCGAACATTCACCCAGCCACAGCCAACCTCACGAACTTTCACTGAACTCTCACCGAGCCACAGGAAACCCTAGGAAGTTTCATAGAACTCTCACCTTATCCAGCATGATGTTTCTCGACAGCAAGTTGCCTTGGACCACTGCGCCCGGGACATCGGAAAAGCCCCCTGTATACACTAGCGAACTTTCGCTGAACTCTCACTCTCTATCTTATTATGAACTCTCACTGAACTCTCACCTTATCCAGCATGGTGTTTCTCGACAGCAAGTTGCCTTGGACCACTGCGCCCGGGACATCGGAAAAGCCCCCTGTATACACTAGCGAACTTTCGCTGAACTCTCACTCTCTATCTTATTATGAACTCTCACTGAACCCTCACCTTATCCAGCATGATGTTTCTCGACAGCAGGTTCCCATGCACCACTGCACTCGAGTGCAGGAAGGTCAGCCCCTTGGCGATCCCCACTGCCACCTTGAGGCGTACTCTCAGCGGCAAAAACTCTCCCTCTCCATCCTCTGATGCAAGGGGTGAAGTGGGGTGAGATGAGATTGAAAAAGGTACAGGAAGGTCAGCCCCTTGGCGATCCCCACTGCCACCTTGAGGCGCACTCTCAGCGGCAGGAACTCCCCTTCCGCATCCTCTGATGTAAGGGGAAAGGGAATTATGGTAGTGAAGAAAGAGGAGAGATGAGGGGAAGTCTGGAAGGAAACTGGTAGTTTTTCGAGGCACCTGCATTTCAACTTCAAATCGTACACTACTATATGCACAATCTGCACTTGTTAAATCTTATCGAATCTCTTTCTGAAGGTGCAAGTTGTGCACAGCACAACATACCTGGGAAGAGGTAGTTCTCAAGACACGTGCAGTTTGGAGGGAGGTCGTAGGCGATCTGCATATCCTCCTTGTCATATATAATCAAATCACTCCCTAAAGGGGAATATTCTCTCAGCATACCTGGAAAGAGGTAGTTCTCGAGGCACGTGCAGTTGGGAGGGAGGTCATAGGCGATTTGCATGTCCTCCTTGTCCGCTGCATATCCCAGTATGGCTGCCAGATTTGTGTGCTGCAGCTTCGCCAGTGCAGCCATCTCCTTTTGCTGCAGCGATAGAAAGAGCAAACAAGCAGTGAGAGCAAAGGGGGAGAGTGAGTAGAAGGCGGGGGGGGGAGATGGGGGAACAAGAATAAGAGCGATCTGCATATCCTCCTTGTCCGCTGCATATCCCAGGATGGCTGCCAGATTCGTGTGCTACAGCTTTGCCAATGCTGCCATCTCCTTTTGCTGCAGCACACGGAAGGTAAACAAGTGTTCAGAGGAGAGGGGGTTGGTGTGGGGTTGGGAAATGCAGAGGAGCAGAAACAAGGGTGATCTGCATGTCCTCCTTGTCCGCTGCATATCCCAGGATGGCTGCCAGATTCGTGTGCTGCAGCTTCGCCAGTGCCGCCATCTCTTTTTGCTGCAGCGAGCAAGGGGAGGGGAGGAACGAAAGGTGGGCACATCACAGGCGAGCAAGTGTTCGTAGCCCAGGGAAGATCTAAGTGTGGAGGGAAGAGGGACGGGGGCTTTTGAGTCGACTCAAAAGTCACCTCGGAACGAAAGGTGGGCGCATCACAGGTGAGCAAGTGTTCGGAGCCCAGGGAAGAGCTAAGTGTGAGGCGAAGGGGGGCGCGTGGAGGGGGAAAGGGGGGTGTGTAGATCGGGGAACAGACAGAGCTGTCCGTTATCTGCCTGTTGGCCTTGTCTATTTTTGAGTCGACTCAAAAACCGACTTACTAAAGAGCTATCTGTTATCTGCCTGTTCGCCTTGTCTGCTACCCATGGCACCCCCCTCATAATGAGGTGACTTTTGAGTCGACTCAAGAGTCACCTCTGTCACCTGCCTGTTCGCCTTATCTGCTCACCATGGGATGCCCCTCATCATGTGAACCCCCTCACATTCCCCCCCACAGAAATCAAAGCAGCAGCACTCACCATCTTCCCCTTCCGCCCGAGCCCATACATGCGCCCTCTGCTCGACTCCGCCTGTGCTGCCACCGGCACAGACCCACCCGCACCCCCTTGCGAAACCATAGAGTTTGTTCTCGCATGCACATGTGCATTCGCATGTGCCGCTGCCGCCCCTGCCCCTCCAGCCGCTGCTGCCGCACCAGGCACATCAGCGGATTTCGACTTGGGAATCGTGGACATGTAGGGAGGAAGAGTGGAGGGCTGGGGTGATTGGGCGAAGTGGGAGGTGTGGTGGTGCTGGGGTGGTAGCTGCTGCTGGGATAGCTGCTGCGACTGTTGCGCCTGCTGTTGCTGCTTGTCTTGTTGCGTCTGACTGAGCCGGTGCCTCGACGGCTGGTGCTCCTGGGAGTAATAAGCAGAATTAACCGTTTTCGATGTGGGTAACCTTGGAGATAGCATATCAAACCCTCCCCCTCCCCCTCCCCCTCCGCCTCCTCCCCCTCCGCCCCCTCCTCCTCCCCCGCCGAAACCATCGTTCCCACCGCCATACCCCCCCATCCCCTCCTCCTCCTCTAACAAATCGGTAATCTCCTGCATAGACGCGTCACTTAGGCTCCTCGCAGGGGCCCGCCTAGGCCGCCAAAACTCTTTGTTAAACACTTTCATCCCGCCGCTGCCGCCACCGCCAGCGGCAGCGGCGCGGGGAGAGTAGGAGGGTTCGGGGGTGGTGGGTAGAAGGGGCGACATAGGCGGAGTGAGATGCTGGTTGTCTCGCCAGGAGCCCCGGCTGCCAGGCTTGGGGGGAAGAATTCGTTGCATTGATGGGTTGGGGCGCGTGTTGATGGGCGGCGGGGAGGAGACTGATGCTGCTGCAGTGGAGAAGAGGGGGAGGGGGAGGGGAAAGGGGAAGGGGAAGGGCAAAAAGCAAGAACACAAGGGAAGGAATGGGAAGAGAGGCGGGTGAGTGAGATAGAGGAGGGAGCGGCGACATAGGCGGAGTGAGGTGCTGGTTGTCCCGCCAGGAGCCCCGGCTGCCAGGCTTGGGGGGAAGAATTCGCTGCATTGATGGGTTGGGGCGCGTGTTGATGGGTGGGGGGGAGGAGACAGATGCTGCTGCAGTGGGAATGGGGGGGAAAGGGGAGAGGGGAGTGGGAGTGAGATAGAGGCGGGAGGGGCGCCTTGGGGGGAAGGATTCGTTGCGTTGATGGGTTGGGGCGAGTGTTGATCGGTGGGGGAGACGACACTGATGCTGCTGCAAGGGGGGGAGTGGGAGCGGGAAAGGGGAGGGGGAAGGGGGGTGTGGATGGAGGAGGGGTGAAGGAGAGAAGAGGAGAGAGGATGTGGGAAACAGAGAGATGTGGGAAACAGAGAGATGTGGGAAACAGAGAGATGTGGGAAACAGAGAGATGTGGGAAACAGAGAGATGTGGCAGATTGTGCAGGTTAATGGGGAGGGGGTGGGAGGAAGGGGGCGAGGAGGAGAGGGAAGACTGAGCTCTGTAAGTCCTTGTGAGGCGCCTCAAAAGTCGTCTACTTACACACGGATTTTGAGAGGTCACCCTTTTGAGACGTCTCAAAAGTCGTCTACTTACACGAGGAAGGGGGCGAGGAGGAGAGGGAAGACTGAGCTCTGTAAGTCCTTGGGCTGCCGCTGCACACACGTGCCTGCTAGGTCACCCGGCTCACAGCACTGGACGGCACGGCACCACACAGCACTGCATTCCACCGAAATGCACCGCACTGAACCGCTACGAACACACCTGCAGCTGCCTGGCGAATGACCTTGAGCCGCCTCACCACCTCCTGCATGCTGGGTCTGTCCTTGGGCTGCCGTTGCACACACATGGCTGCCAGGCTGGCGAATGCCTGCATGGGCTGCTGCGGGAAGGCCTGGGCTAGATTGGGGTCGACTACGGCGTCGAGGTTGCCGGCACAGATGGCAGGGGTGGCCTGCTTGTTAGGGAAGGGGAGGAGAGGATCAGATAGAACGGGGAGAACGGGAAAGAGGGGAACGGAGGAAAGAGTGGACGAATTAGGCCTGGGAGGGACACAGATAGGCCACTGCAGAGAATGTCTGAATGGGCTGCTGTGGGAACGCCTGGGCTAGATTGGGGTCGACCACTGCATCTAGATTCCCGGCACAGATGGCAGGGGTCGCCTGAGGAGGGAGGGGAGGGAGAGATGGAGAGTGGAAAGAGAGCGGAGGGGAAGAAAGAGAGGGTGAGAGTTAAACCACGCGAATGCCTGCATGGGCTGCTGGGGGAACGCCTGGGCGAGATTGGGGTCGACCACTGCGTCTAGATTGCCGGCACAGATGGCTGGGGTGGCCTGGGGAAGGAGGGGGGGGATGGAATGGGATGGAGAGAGAAGAGGGAAACTTAGGGGCTGCTGGGGGAACGCCTGGGCTAGATTGGGGTCGACGACAGATAGATGACTTTTGAGTTGACTCAAAAGTCACCTCATTGGGGTCGACGACTGCTAGATTGTTGGCACAGATGGCAGGGGTGGCCTGGGGACAGAGGGAGGGGATGGATTGGAAAGGGAAGCATGAAACGGAGGGGAAAAGAGCGGAATAATCAGGCCTGGGGACACAAAACTAGTGCAATCATGGGCGGGAGGGAGGCTTGTTTTGAAACATATATAACCAGTGCAATCATCCACTCACCCATTTCGCGAGTGCCATTCTCTCTCCGGAATCGTCTGCTTCCTTGAGCACCGGAGGCTTGGCTGTGATGAGCTCTAGCATGACAGGTGCTGAGGCACATAACCAGAGGTATGTATAACTAGTTCAGTTGTCACTCACCCATTTCGCCAGTGCCATTCTCTCCCCCGAATCGTCAGCTTCCTTGAGCACTGGCGGCTTGGCTGTGATGAGCTCTAGCATGACCACTCCGAAACTGAGAGGTATGGGGCAAAGGGGGGATGAGGAAGGGGAGAGAGAAAGGGGGGTGAGGAAAGAGAGAGTACTTAAGGTGCCTCCTTGAGCACTGGAGGCTTGGCTGTGATGAGCTCTAGCATGACCACTCCGAAACTGAGAGGTATGGGGCAAAGGGGGGATGAGGAAGGGGAGAGAGAAAGGGGGGTGAGGAAAGAGAGAGTACTTAAGGTGCCTCCTTGAGCACTGGAGGCTTGGCTGTGATGAGCTCTAGCATGACCACTCCGAAACTGAGATGTATGGGGCAAAGGGGGGATGAGGAAGGGGAGAGAGAAAGGGGGATGAGGAAAGAGAGAGTACTTAAGGTGCCTCCTTGAGCACTGGAGGCTTGGCTGTGATGAGCTCTAGCATGACCACTCCGAAACTGAGAGGTATGGGGCAAAGGGGGGATGAGGAAGGGGAGAGAGAATGGGGGGTGAGGAAAGAGAGAGTACTAAAGGTGCCTCCTTGAGCACTGGAGGCTTGGCTGTGATGAGCTCTAGCATGACCACTCCGAAACTGAGAGGTATGGGGCAAAGGGAGGGAGGGAGGGGAAGGGGGGACGATGAGAGAAGTGAGAGTGCTGACGGAGCCTCCTTGAGCACCGGGGGCTAGGCTGTGATGAGCTCTAGCATGACCACCCCGAAGCTGAGAGGCACGAAAGACAGGGAGGGAGGAGGGGAAGAACGAGGGAATATGAGAGAAGTGAGAGTGCTGAAGGTGCCTCCTTGAGCACCGGAGGCTAGGCTGTGATGAGCTCCAGCATGACCATTCCCCACCCCCCACCCTCACCTATACACATCACTCCTTACGGACAGACACCACGCTGGTCTGGCCTTTTGAGAATTCTAAAAAAACTGGTCTGGCAGTACTGCGGGTTCAGATACCCTAGCGAGCCCCCCACCACCCCCTCCATTCTCAAAAAACTGGTCTGGCAGTACTGCTGGTCCATATGATTTTTTAGGCGCCTCAAAAATAGATACCCTAGCGAGCCCCCCACCACCCTCCATTCTAAAAAAACTGGTCTGGCAGTACTGCTGGTCCAGATGATTTTTAAGGCGCCTCAAAAATAGATACCCTAGCGAGCCACCCCCTCCATTCTCAAAAACTGGTCTGGCAGTACTGCTGGTCCAGATGATTTTTTAGGCGCCTCAAAAATAGATACCCTAGCGAGCCCCCCACCACCCCCTCCATTCTAAAAAAACTGGTCTGGCAGTACTGCTGGTCCAGATGATTTTTTAGGCGCCTCAAAAATAGATACCCTAGCGTGCCTCAAAATAAGATACCCTAGCGTGCCCACCACCACCCCCTCCATCCCAAGGGCCCTCCGGTAATCTTTCTTACTTTCCCTCTCCTCTCCAACACAGTTGCTCACCTGTACACATCACTCCACACAGACACCACGCTCGTCTGGCAGTACTGAGGGTCCAGGTACCCGGGCGTGCCCCACTCTTTCTTCCCCCCCCCCCCCCACACCCTCCTTACCTGTACACGTCACTCCACACGGACACCACGCTCGTCTAGCAGTACTGAGGGTCCAGATACCCGGGCGTGCCCCACTCTCCCCCCCCCCACCCTCCTCACCTGTACACATCACTCCACACAGACACCACGCTCGTCTGGCAGTATTGCGGGTCCAGATACCCGGGCGTGCCCACCACGCGTGTGTGTGTGGTGGCGCTTTCGTCGTCGCCTATCGACTTGAGGTTGCCGTAATCCCCGAGTTTCGGCTGGCAGGGTGGTGGGGGGAAAGATGGGAGGGGATGGAGGAGAAAAAGATTCACTTGAAGTTACTTTAGTCCCGAGTTTACGCTGTGAGAGTGGGGAGAGGATAGAGAGGAGGGATGGGGGAGAGATGGGTGTGCTGCATGTGGGTGGTAGCGTAAGAGAGTGTGCAGTGGACACACTGGCGGAGTTAGATGCTCCCTCACTCACTCTCTCCCTCGTGCGCTCACTCTCAATCCCTCACTCATTCTCTCACTCCCTCCCTCTCACTCCCTCTCACTCCCTCTCACTCCCTCTCACTCCCTTTCACTCCCCCATTCACCTGTAGATCATCATCCATGAACACGTTGAGGCTCTTCACATCTCTTTCGCTCACTGTCCCACGCCCTCACTCACCAAGTCCCCTTCGCTCTCTCACCTTTCTCACTCATACTATCCTCTCCCTCGCATACACACACTCCCTCTCACCATCTCACACTCCCTCATTCTCTCCCTCCCTCCCTCCCTCACCTGCAAATCATCATCCATGAACACGTTCAGGCTCTTCACGTCTCGATGCACGAGCACCGGTTTGCACGAGTGTAGATACAGCAGTGCTTCTGCCACCCCCACCGCCGCCTCTATCCGTTGCTCAAACGACAGCACCCCTTTCTCCGTGTCACCTGTATGGAAAAGGGGACAGGGGGGGGAGGGGGAAAGAGGGGAGAGGGTAATATGGGTCTGGGGGTTGGGGGAGGTAGGCTGCATACAGCAGGTAGCACAGAAGCCCACAAGGCCTGAGGGACAGCAGCATGTCTCGATGCACGAGCACAGGCTTGCACGAGTGCAGGTACAGCAGTGCTTCTGCCACCCCCACCGCCGCCTCTATCCGTTGCTCGAATGACAGCACCCCTTTCTCGGTGTCGCCTGGTGTAGGGGAACGGGAAGGAAAAGGAAGGGCGGGCAGCACGGGCTTGCACGAGTGCAGATACAGCAATGCTTCTGCCACCCCCACCGCCTCCTCTATCCGCTGCTCAAATGACAGCAGCCCCTTCTCCGTGTCGCCTGGTAAGGAAAGTGGGAGATGGGGGAGGGGGAGGGGAAGGGAAGGGAGGGTTGGGAAAGAAAGGTGCAATCTACCCGCCCCCACGGCCGCTCCTATCCGCTGCTCAAACGACAGCACCCTTATCTCTGTGTTGCCTGAGGATGGCAGATCAAGACCCCATGAGGCCATAACAAGTATGCTTATAACGGGAATAGCTCACCTTGTAACGGGGATAGATGTTGTCTGAGCGTGCCATTGGCCACATACTCGTACACCAGCACCTGCTCCTTGTTCTCATGGCAGAACCCCATCAGGCAGTAATGTGCATGCTTATAACAGGAATGACTCACCTTGTAACGGGGATAGATGTTGTCTGAGCGTGCCATTGGCTACATACTCGTACACCAACACCTGCTCCTCGTTCTCATGGCAGAACCCCATCAGGTGATAACGAGTGTGCTTATAACGGGAATATATGTTCATAACAAATATCGCTCACCTTGTAACGGGGATAGATGTTGTCTGAGCGTGCCATTGGCCACATACTCGTACACCAACACCTGCTCCTCGTTCTCATGGCAGATCCCCATCAGGTGATAACGAGTGTGCTTATAACGGGAATATATGTTATAGCAAATATTGCTCACCTTGTAACGGGGATAGATGTTGTCTGAGCGTGCCATTGGCTACATACTCGTACACCAACACCTGCTCCTCGTTCTCATGGCAGAACCCCATCAGGTGATAACGAGTGTGCTTATAACGGGAATATATGTTCATAACAAATATCGCTCACCTTGTAACGGGGATAGATGTTGTCTGAGCGTGCCATTGGCCACATACTCGTACACCAACACCTGCTCCTCGTTCTCATGGCAGATCCCCATCAGGTGATAACGAGTGTGCTTATAACGGGAATATATGTTATAGCAAATATTGCTCACCTTGTAACGGGGATAGATGTTGTCTGAGCGTGCCATTGGCCACATACTCGTACACCAGCACCTGCTCCTCGTTCTCATGGCAGAACCCCATCAGGCAGTAACGTGCATGCTTATAACAGGAATGACTCACCTTGTAACGGGGATAAATGTTGTCTGAGCGTGCCATTGGCCACATACTCGTACACCAACACCTGCTCCTCGTTCTCATGGCAGAACCCCATCAGGCGCACCAGGTTCGGGTGAAGCATCTTGGAAACTGCCTCGATCTGAGGGGATGGGAGGTGGAGTCGGGGTGGGAAAATTGGAAGAGGAGGGAGGGGAGTGAATTGGAGAGTATGAGGTAATCTAAATAGAGGGGTGAAGCAATCTAAATACCTTCCCTCCCTCCCATATCTCCACCCCACCCCACCCCCTGATGTGCCACAACCGCCCGCATTTACCCATTACCTTCCCATTGTTACCACGTTACAACCCCGCCTCACCCCCCTGTGATAGTCCTGCAGCTGCGTCAGTCCCCCCTTCTTCCCGCGCTTCACAGCCCAGGCCTCCCCATCCGGCCCCACGCCCTTATACACAATCGCGGAGCCCCCTTCCCTTTTACCTCCCAACCGAGTGAACCTGTCTCACCTCTCTATGATAATCCTGAAGCCGCGTCAGTCCCCCCTTCTTCCCTCGCTTCACAGCCCACAGCTCAGCTCCCCATCCGGCTCCACGCCCTTGTACACAACCGCATTCATCTTCCCTTATCTCTGCCCCACCCATTAGCACCCATTCTCTCACCTCTCTATGATAATCCTGAAGCCGCGTCAGCCCCCCCTTCTTCCCGCGCTTCACCGCCCACAGCTCCCCATCTGGTGACACGCCCTTATACACAACCGCAGAGCCCCCTTCCCCCAGCTGCAGGTCGTCCGACCAGTTCTTGGTGGCCTCTACGAGATCCTCATAGGGGATCTCGTGGGCCGGCTCAGGCTCATCCATGCCTGGGTGTCGTGTGGTGGGGAAGTAGAGGTGGGGACAAGGTTGAGAGGTCGCACGTAGGAGTCCCCCCTTCCCCCAGCTGCAGGTCGTCCGACCAGTTCTTGGTTGCCTCCAGATCCTCATAGGGTATCTCATGAGCTGGCTCAGGCTCGTCCATGCCTGGGTGGTGGGGAAACCGGTGGGGATGGGTTCAGAGAGGTGCCTTATACACAACCGCGGAGCCCCCTTCCCCCAGCTGCAGGTCGTCCGACCAGTTCTTGGTGGCTTCTACGAGGTCCTCATAGGGGATCTCGTGGGCTGGTTCAGGCTCGTCCATGCCTGGGTGGGCGGGGAGAAGGGAGAGGGAGGTTATGAGGAGTCCCCAAGTCCGACGACCAGTTCTTGGTGGCTTCCACGAGGTCCTCATAGGGGATCTCGTGGGCCGGTTCAAGCTCATCCATGCCTGGGTGGGAGGAATGGGGGTTGGGTGGGGTAAGGTTGAGAGAGGTGCCTTATACACAATCGCGGAGCCCCCTTCCCCCACCTGCAGGTCGTCCGACCAGTTCTTTGTTGCTTCCACGAGGTCCTCACAGGTAATCTCATGGGCTGGTTCTGGTTCATCCATGCCTGCTTGGTTTGTGGTGTAGAAGGGGTGTGTGGGTGTGACTGGTCCCTCAGGATAGATAGAGGGCGAAGCAAGCATAGATAGATCATCCCTGCTAACCTGTTGTGATAGGCCGTAGCCAGTCATACCTGCTGAGTCCAGTGACTCGAGCCTCTTGGCAAACGACCTCTTCAGCAGAGCCTTGCCATCTCTGTTGAGTCAACTCAAAAGTCACCAAGACGTGCGCGCCGCGCAGGCCCATGGTCAGTCATACCTGCTGAGTCCAGTGACTCGAGCCTCTTGGCAAACGACCTCTTCAGCAGTGCCTTGCCATCTCTTTTGAGTCAACTCAAAAGTCACCGAGACGTGCGCGCAGGCCCATGGTCAGTCATACCTGCTGAGTCCAGTGACTCGAGCCTCTTGGCAAACGACCTCTTCAGCAGTGCCTTGTCATCCCCCCCTCCTCCTCCGCCCAGCGCTCCCCCTGCTCCCCCTCCCGCTCCCCCTCCCCCTGCCCCCCCCCGCCCCTCCCGCACCACCCCCTGCCGCCGCCCCTGTTCCCCCTCCCGCCGCTCTTTTCCCCCTCCCAATCACCTCTCTCTCCCCCACGCCCGCACTAATCCCCTGGTGCTGTGGCCGGGCGGCCTTAATCTCCAGCTTCCCTCCACCGTCCACCACCCATTGCAACTGCGCCAGCACCCGTTTCTCCGCCTCTATTCTCACATCCGGTACAGTCACACCCATCAGCAGCCCCTTATCCCGCGCTCTCAACCCCGCCAGCCGCGCCGTCGGCGCCCCGATCGAGTGCAGCAGTTTCTTCACTGAAACTTCACTCGGGATATTATCCACCGCCGAAGTCCCGTTCCAAGAGACAAACCACGAGTAATCATTCATGCTGTCGATTCTCACAGCCGACCCCAACGGCTGCTCATCCGCTGCCTTTTCAGCCAAAAACAGCTCCCGAACATCTTCCAACCCATCGTCCCAAAGTATAATCTCATCCCCCACCGCCATAACCACCCGCCCGTGCTTCCTCACAGTCAGCCGAGCATAATACTGCTCCATAGCCATCCCCACCGCCTTCCCCAGCAACGCGTATTGAGCCAGAACCGGAGCGAGCACTATAGCAACCTCATAGAGAGTCCTGTTAGTGGCGTTCCACAGACTCTCCACCTCCTCTACCATGTCTTCTAGGAGGGCTCTGAGCCGCGGGGTGCCGACGCGGTAGGAGGAGACGGGCCAGGCGTTGCCTGGGGGAGGCTCATCTAGGTCGCGCAGGGCCTCCGCGTCCAGCTCGGCGCGCAGGGCGAATGTGCGGAAGGCAAAGAGGGCGAGGCGACGGGGGTCGCCCTGAGGGGGGGTGGGGGAGGAGTGGGGGAGGAGTGGGGGAGGAGTGGGGGAGGAGTGGGGGAAGGTGGGGAGTGGTGGGGAAGGGAGGGAGGGGCCTCCGCGTCCAGCTCGGCGCGCAGGGCGAATGTGCGGAAGGCAAAGAGGGCGAGATGACGGGGGTCGCCCTGGGGAAGGGGGGCGGAGAGGAGGGGGGGGTCTTGGGGGGAGCAAGGGGGTGTTAGGGGCAAGAGCAGGGCCTCCGCGTCCAGCTCGGCGCGCAGGGCGAATGTGCGGAAGGCAAAGGGAGCCAGTCGGCGGGGATCGCCCTGAGGGGGGGTGGGGGAGGAGTGGGGGAAGGTGGGGAGCGGTGGGGAAGGGAGGGAGGGGCCTCCGCGTCCAGCTCGGCGCGCAGGGCGAATGTGCGGAAGGCAAAGAGGGCGAGGCGACGGGGGTCGCCCTGTGGGAGGGGGGGAGTTGAGGGGTGGCGTGAAGGAGGGTGGGAATGGCTGGGAGGACGGGGGAGGGGGTGGAGGGTGGAAAAGAGGAGGGTACAAGAGCGGGAGATGACTGTGAGTGGGGCTCGGCGAGCAGAGAAAACCTCACAGGCAGCCTCTTTTCTTGGTGAGTGGTGCATAGCATTGGGAGTTGTGCTGTGTATTGGGTGCTCTTATCATAGACAGATTGAGGGGCGTCCACCCACCTTGGGTATTCTGTCGAGGCACAGCAGAGCGGACCTCACCCCCAGCGCCTCAGTGCTCCCTCAGCTCCCAGCGCCTCAGTGCTGTGTACTGTGCAGTGCATTGAGGGCCGTCCACCCACCTTGGGCATTCTGTCGAGGCACAGCAGAGTGGATCTCTTTTGAGGCGCCTCAAAAGTGCTCTTATCACAGACAGATTGAGGGGCGTCCACCCACCTTGGGTATTCTGTCGAGGCACAGCAGAGCGGATCTCTTTTGAGGCGCCTCAAAAGTGCTCTTATCACAGACAGATTGAGGGGCGTCCACCCACCTTGGGTATTCTGTCGAGGCACAGCAGAGCGGATCTCTTTTGAGGCGCCTCAAAAGTGCTCTTATCACAGACAGATTGAGGGGCGTCCACCCACCTTGGGTATTCTGTCGAGGCACAGCAGAGCGGATCTCTTTTGAGGCGCCTCAAAAGTGCTCTTATCACAGACAGATTGAGGGGCGTCCACCCACCTTGGGTATTCTGTCGAGGCACAGCAGGGCCGACCGCACACCCAGCGCCTCAGCGCTCACTCTCAGCTCCCTGAGCTCAGTCACTGAGGGTAGGCGTCCCTTGGTGAGGGAGGGATGCAATGCGGGCACTCTACTGTGTGCTGTTACCACAGGGAGACTCAGGCCCACCCATTCCCACACCCACCTTGGGTATTCTGTCGAGGCACAGCAGTGCAGATCTCACACCCAGCGCCTCAGCGCTCACTCTCAGCTCCCTGAGCTCGGTCACTGAAGGTAGCCGCCCCTTGGCGAGTGAGGGGCGCATGTGCTGTGCATTGGGTGCTGTGCGTGTGTTGTGTGTGTGCTGTGTGTTGTGTGTGTGCTGTGTGTGTGTTGTGTGTGTGTTGTGTGTTGTGTGTGTGCTGTGTGTTGTGTGTGTGCTGTGTGTGTGTTGTGTGTGTGTTGTGTGTTGTGTGTGTGCTGTGTGTTGTGTGTGTGCTGTGTGTGTGTTGTGTGTGTGTTGTGTGTTGTGTGCTGTGTGTGTGTTGTGTTGTGTGTGTACTGTGTACTGTGCAGTGCATTGGGGGGGCTGAAACCCACCTTGGGTATTCTGTCGAGGCACAGTAGAGCAGACCGCACGCCCAGCGCCTCAGCGCTCACTCTCAGCTCCCTGAGCTCAGTCACGGACGGCAGGCGCCCCTTGGTGAGCGGGCGCAGGCAGGAGCGGTAGCGCAGGTGCAGGATGCGCACTGCCTTCTCCAGCACGTCCAGCTCCACACTGTCCAGTTGCGACCTCCCCCCGCCCCGCCCGTTCTCTGCTCGTGTGGGCGGGTAGGCGTGGGAGGGGAGTGGTGGGGGCGTGGGGTGGGGGTGAGGGGGAAGAGGAGTGTGGGTGACACAGGTAAGAGGGATGCAGGTTAAGAGGGGAAGGGGCATGGGGTTGAGTGGGGTTGGGGAGGAACAGGTGAACGGAGGGGTGAGCGGCCGCAGGCAGGAGCGGTAGCGCAGGTGCAGGATGCGCACTGCCTTCTCCAGCACGTCCAGCTGTCCAGTTGCGACCTCCCCCCGCCCCGCCCGTTCTCTGCTTCAAGGGGGGTGGGGGCGTGGGAGGGGAGAGGTGGGGGCGTGGGGCTGAGGGCGAATGGGGGAAAGGGGCGCGGGTGGAAGGGGGAAATTGGGGGGCGGACGTGGGAGGGGAAAAGTGGGGGGTCGTCGGGGTGGGGAAAAGGGGGGTGGAGGAAAAGGGTGTGCGGGTTAGAGGAAGGGAAAGAAGGGTAGGGGGGAGGCGGGGACGGGGAGAGAGGGGGCGGGGAGGGCGCAGGGGGTATGCGGAGAGAGAGGGGAGGGGGACGGGGGAGTGAACGGCAGGTGGAATGAGAGGCAGGTAGAAGCGGGCGGGAGGCAAATGCAATTTACGCACTGCCTTTCCTGCGGACCACCCCTTGTGTGATGCACCTTCTAACCCTAATTGTACGTACTTCCTAACCTAACTCTCCACGTACCCCATAATCTCAACTCCACGTATCTCCTAACCCGTAATCCACGTACTTCCTTATCTTAACGCTCCATACCTCCTCCCATTCCTTACTATACATACCTTGTAAACCTAAATCAGGTAACTTGTCACCCTAATTCCACACAACCCCTCCTAACCCTAACTTCACGTACTCCCCCCTCTTCCCCCCAACCACATACCTCGTAACCCTAACTCAACGTACCTCCCAAACCCAACTCCACGTACCTCCTTCCGGTTCTTCCACTTGTTCTGGGTCATGCAATTGCGTGAACAGAGCATGTAGACAGCTTAGCATCCGGACACGTGGCAGCCCGTCCCCTTCCCCTTTCCCCGTTTTTCCGGGGCTGTATGCTGACATGGCAGCCGTTACAGCACCCAATGCCAAATGCGCAATCCCAAGAGGCGCTCCCAACTGTCCCGAACGTGCTACCGTGCCTATAGGCTCGGCTAGATTTGCCCCGTTGACTCGAGGCTCGGGAAACCATGGCCTTTCCGTCTCTGTGTCGCTGCTGTCTGATTGGTCCGCGTCTCCCATCCTCGTCTGGTGCTTATATCGGAACCCGGCGCTCGGCCTGGCTGAAACACTATTTGCCTGCAAGCGTTACTATACGCTTATTAATGCCTAAGAGAATGGTGAGGGGTTCCAACGATTATGATAACTGATATATCGAAACCAGACGATTGAGCCAATAAATACTGCCTTGCTGCTGCGCGCTGCTGCTGCTGCCAACGTTGCCCTCTGTTGCGAACCCTACTGCCCTAATTGCTGATAGCGATAACGTGGCGATTGTTATTGCACTGAGTTGAGTAGGTCTGAGTGTACAGAACGCCTAAACGGAGTGACGCACGACGACATCGAGTGTAGCCTACTAGCTCCATAACGAGACCGCTGCTGCCAGTGGAAGTCAAGCCTACGTGTTTTCCTTAACGCGTATCTAGGGCCAGGAGACTGTCATTATCGCGGATGTGGCCGTACGGGATTAAGGATGCTGCAGTGGTGAATGGTGAGCTTTGCACGAAAGTCTTGAATGCGATACGTGCGCCTGATACGCAGCCGTACATGACGCCATCGGTGCTCACGTGCCACCGTCATGATGACGTGGCATCGTCACGATGATGTGGCAGCATTCTGCAATGCCGAGCTGGCAAGACAATGCCGAACAGGAACCGGTGGAAGAAACCAATCCGGCCTATAAGCGAAGGAACCCCAGTGTGCTGCGATGTCCCCCCTAAGGGCGTACTCGTTTAAGAGTTCTCAGGCCACAGGCGGTGTACGACGAATGAAGTCCCCTGTGGGATCCACGACAGGACAAAAGACGCATGGGAACAGGGGCCCTGGGTGTGTAAGCTGAGCCTTCATAGCAGGGCGTTTTCTAGCTAAAATACGGACAAATGTTTCAGAAAATAAGTGGGGGAAGCGGATCAAGAAGAAAGAAAGCGACAGCCGGGCTGACGATGAAACCATGAGGAAGCGGAAGATGAAGAATTGGCGGGCCGATGAGACGGCGATACAGCAAACCGCACGACAGCGTCAAGCCTTCGCAAAACACGCAAAAGCGTACCTGCGTGAAAAGGCGTCGCTATGAAGTACTCTCAAACCGGCGCACTCAAAAGAGCGGAGCGATACGTTCAGTCCGGGACGCGCACTCACGTACTCTCCCTATACATTGTTAGGGTTTGTACTGATACGCGACGTGGTCAATGTATGTTATGAGTAAGGAGGCCAGAAGCTTCCAATTGGATAACGAGAAATCAGGGACGAACAGTCAGTCGAGTGACTTGAGAGCTTTGAGGATACAGCAAGAGCGACCGAATAGCTGGATTAGGTTGGATTGGGAGGACGAAGACAGAAATGGATACTGTTGGTTCCGCCATTGACGAGAACAGCGGAAAGATTTGAGGGGGGAGCACCAGGAGGAGACGAGGAAGGTTGTGGTATGGTGCTGGTCTGCGCGGCTGCGAGAAAAAAATAGAGCGTGGGGGAAGAGCCTCGGTGAAAGTGAAGGCTCGGAAACTCGCGAGCGACTGGACGGGGAAGCGGCGGAAGCAGGCAATGGGGTGGGGAGGGATTGGGGGAAGGTCACGCACGAGTGGTTGAAAGGCAGGTTTGGGGGAGAGAAGTCTGCAGTGAACTATTCTCGAGGTGCTGTCCCTCGAGAATATCCGTTCGGCATTTTTGAGGCGTCTGTTCGAAGTGCCTCTCTTGCCACGTCGAACGTTTGACCACAAGTCATTCCAGTTTCTGCCTTCAGAGTTAGGAGCATATTTACAATTTCAACACTGTCTACAATCGTGGCAACCAGGCTCTAGCAGCCGAAGTGGAAATTTACATAAGCTCCTCGCATTTTTGCGACGGGTTTTGTATGACGGAGCAATGGGGACTTACATAAGCTCGTCGCATTTCGCATTATTGCGCACTAGGTTTGGAAGAGCGGGTGGTTTGGAAGTGATAGGAGGGGGGGCGGCGTGGTGTTGCGCATTGCGATATTATGCAATAGTAACGCTTTGCGAACATATGAGAAAGTGGTCTGCGCCTGTCACAAGTGCCAGTTCTTCACGAAGCAGCAGCTTCCTCACGAAGAGTAACAGCAGCCATCTCGTCGCTGTCAGTTGGATAGGACGGGGAGGATCCCCAACAGCTTCTCGCCAGACACTACACGACAATACTGTGAGAACATGCTTCGGTTGTGTTGTGCCGTTGCTTTCTGTATAGTTCCTCACCCCCTTGCTTATCTATCTTGGGAAATACCATACTTGGAAATGGATCTATCACATTTGCATCTTAACGGATTATATCGCCTTATCAGTCTTCAGACGTTTCTCATCAATAATCACTTGTTTATTCCATTTTATTCAATATATTTTTAGAACTAGAAGTTTAATATAAATGCCTATGTATTTACTTAGATCATACAGCCAGGTCCGGCATGTAGTGACATAGCTCGGCTTATAATTGTTACGTATACAAGATGTAGTGCGGTTTGCCGCCAATTGGATGGAGACAGACAACTGCCTCAAACCTGGGAAGCCTTCGCAGGAAGGAACGTGGACAGAACAAACACGAATCATCGCGCTCCTGCTGTGTCACTCACTGGGCTGACCAGACACCTGGAAGTGTACCCGCTTCTGCCACGTGGTCATGATAGTTCACTCAAACCGTCTATTCCCCTTCAATAGATCTGGTGACGTGGTTCTTGACAGCTCAGCGTCGCGCTACCTGCGGTTGTATGTTCATCTCCTTTCACCTGTTTCTGTCGCTCATTTCTGGGTGATCATTATCCTTCGATAGTTTACTTGCTTTAGAAGACAATCATTCGCGCATCTTGTGACAAACATATAGTCTTCTCTCCTCCTGACACTCTTTTACCAGCCTGGTAGTAGAATTTCTCCCTCGCATTGCTGAATTTCTGTTTTCAAATTACTCTTCTACCAGTAGCTGTGTCCTCCACAATACCGTCTCTCTTTCGACGCCCTCACTTAAACATTTACTCATACGCCATGGCCGCTACCTCACTCCAGTGCAAGCTCTCGCTTGGATCTCTCGTGAAGGCCGACGTGTCATCCCTCCGACAAGGGCCCACTGTCGTGTCATTTCCCCAAAGAGTAAGCTTCTGCGTTCCCTGGTCATAGTCGTTACTCCAGGGGAGAGCTTAGTCCGAAGCTTGGTATGCTCAAGGTTGGATAGCTGTAGTTCAGGGTTATTGTGATTAACTAAACTGTGTTACATCTTACTGACATTGCAGAGAGTAACTGTGCGTGCGGACCGCAATGACTTCACCGGCTATGTGGAGAAGGACACTGCCGGCCAGGAGAACATCTACGCCGTTGAGGTGAGAATCAAAGGCGCACGCTTTGTCATTCTCAGTTGTGGCGACGAATCACAATTGGACAATGGCAATGGAACTAGTACTTGTCAGTAATGTCGATGGCACTGGATTGAAAAGAGTCAGTCCAATTCAGTATTGCAATGGTGCAATCGGTATCTCCAATTAATGTATTCTTTCGTTTATGCATGTACTTTGTCTGCAGCCTACCGTCTATGTGGGCAACTCCGGCAGCTCCGGTGTGGTCCTGAACGTTGTCGGCGCTGCTGCTGCCCTGGCCGGTGCATCAGCCGTGCTATTTGCTCTCGGTGGATCAGACCCCGCACCTCAAGAACAGGCATATTCCGGGCCTCCTCTTTCCTCCTACGTTCGGAAATTCGAGGCGGAGCTGGCACCAGCTCCCGTGCAGGCTCCTGCGGTTGTTGATGAGGTTGTCGAGGCTGCTCCTGCTGCTGACGAGTGAAAAACGGCTACCGGTACTTACGGATTTTTAGGTGGAGTGACGAAATGAAGGTGAAGTTAATGCTACAAAACAGCAGAACGAGATTCACCTTTTTGTATTTTTAGGTTTGTCACGTTCCCCTTCACGTTAGGAAACTTCTCTGGTTTGTTACTGTGATTTCTTAATAAACGGCTTGATACCCAATGTGGCTTTGCGAATGTGATCAGAGATTGTGTAAATCCTTTTCCTCTGACCCCACCTCTTGCATATCCATCCCTCTTTCACCTTGTTCCTTCGTTTTCACTCTGTAAACAACTGTCACCCTCTTCCAGTAAAGTATCTCTTCCTTTTTCCCTGCTCCGTCTTTTTTCTCTGCTCACCCAATCCCCAAGTACCGTATTCTCCCGGACATAACACCTAGGGTATAGCTAAAAATACAGGGAAAAAATGGGGGGGGGGTCTCCTCATAGGAAAAAAAAAACATAATACCCAGGTCCTTACATATGGCATATTTTAGTGTTAGTGTTTTTTTTTGTTAGTCAATGTGGGTGTTTTGCTGGTCGTTTTAGCATCACTGCCTGAGTCGCAAATGTGAGTTTCGGCCTCGAGGTAAACATTCACACGATATTCTTCCGTATTGCAACTACTCGTTAACAACTAAAATAATGAATCCGTAAGAAAAGGGGGGTGTTATAGAAAATCAGCCAAAAAAGGGGGTATATAGTAGAAACGAGGTCTATCATAACACCCACCCCGCACAAGCTACCCGGGGGTGTACAATTATGGGGGGGTGTTTTGTCCGGGAGTGTACGGTACATGACTTCAGTGAGAAAGAAACCGCACATATTGGAACCAGACGAGACAGTACTACTTCTTACAATGGCACATGCAACAAGGGAATACTGTACCTAGGCTGACACTGGTAGCTAATAGTGATGGACAAGCCTAACCCAATACACGGCCACTGTGCAGCACTACTGGTGATATAACAGCCAACCAGCTACAGAGCAACACTCATTTAGTGATGAATACAGGTGCTATTGCTGAACATATAATGCTCATGGTGACGGACACGTAGGGTGCAGGACTTGATCCTTAGCCAAATGGTCAGCTACAGTGTGAAGCACTTCACCTCGCCTAATAACGCAACTACAGTGCAATGGTCATGGTGATGGACACATAGGGGTGCAAGATATGATTCCGGAGCACATAACGCAGCAGTAGTGCAACGCTCATGGTGATGGACACGTAGGAATGCATTCTATAGTGATGGTGCCCGCCTCTGAGAAATCCCACAAGTCAGCTACACCGGTCCGTAAAGCTTTTGTACCTTGCCTTATAGGGCAGCTAGGCAGTTAAAGTGCAACGCTCATGGTGATGGACACATAGGGATGCAGGTCGTGGTCTCCTCCTGTCAGCCCTGCCAGGCTGGCATCGCTGTCCGTCGACCTCCAGTGCTCGCTGTGCGTGCAGAGGGAGCAATCGTGAAAGAAGGGGGTGAGAAAGGGAGGGAGTCAGAAAGGAAGTGAGAAAGGGACTAAGTAGAAACCAGGAGGTGAGACGGGAAGCAGTGGGAAGGGGAGAGGGAACGGGGAAGGCAGAGGGATGGACAGACTGTTACCTCTGCTGCTTACCTGTTATCCGTGTTGCTCAATGTTTCCACAACCAAACAGAGGCCTCACCGTACCAAAATGCGCAGCACCAAGTGTCACTGCACCATTGTCTCTCACCCGTCACCTGTGCTGCTCACCTGTTATCTGTGTTGCTCAGTGTTTCCAGAATGGAGCGAAGGCGCTTCTCCGATCGCTGCGAGGGGGTCATGAGGGCAGGCTGGGCGGGGAGGGAGATGACAAGGGTTGCTTTATCAACCAGTGGAACACGTCAAACAATCAGCCTACAAAAGCAGCACTGACCAGCAAGGCGGTACTGGTTTTCAAGTGGACTTACAAATCATCAAGGGAGGTACTGATCAGCAAGGCAGGAGGAAGGCCGTAAAAAAAGATGGTCTCAGCAAAGTAACCTTTGAGTCGACTAAAAAATCACCTCCTTTTGAGTCGACTCACAAATCATCAAGGGTGGTACTGATCAGCAGGGAAGGAGGGGGGTCGTGGAAAAGAACGGTCTCAGCAAAGAAGCCAGAGGAGCAGCACTGACCAGGAAGGCGGGAGGGAGGCCGTAGCGAAGGATGCTCTCGAGAAAGAGGCGAATGACAGCAAGAGTGTCCTTGAGTTGACAACAAGAACGATAATTGCACACCCACCAGGAAGGTGGCAATGGCGGGACTTACGAGGAAGGCGGGAGGGAGGCCGTAGCGAAGGATGCTCTCAGCGAAGAGGCGAATGACAGCAATGTGCATCCAGGACGCGAACACCTGGAGGGGAGGGTGAAAGCAGGAGGGAGGGATGAGAACAGGCACATGGGGAAGGAGGCCATAGGGAAGGATGCTCTCTTGGCAAAGGGGTGAATGACAGCAATGTGCATCCAGGACGCTAACACCTGGAAAGAGAAAGAGAAAGAGAAATAGAGAAGAGAAAGAGAAAAGAGAGGAGGAGGCGAATGACAACAACGTGCATCCACGCAACACCAATAACCTCCAAATACCGCTCTGCACCCCCAAGTACACATTCACATTGTTTCATTCCGCTCCGTACCGCTCTATATCTGAGCGTACCTCTCCGTATCCCACGTGGCACCACTGCAGCAGGGACGCGGACATGGAAGCACTGTCCTCCAGCAGCCGCTCCTGATCCTCCTTCCTCTGGTTTGCACCGTCAGGGTCGTGCTCGTACTCTCGCACCTGATGGGAAACAAGGGGAATACCACAGAGACAGAGGAAATACAGAGGCAGGGGCGGGAATAATGAGTTGAGCCAGCAGCCGCTCCTGATCCTCCTTCCTCTGGTTCGCCCCGTCGGGGTCGTGCTCGTACTCTCGCACCTGGCAGGAGTGCAGGGCAGTGAAGTCAGTGAGGAGAGGGCTTGTGAAACTGAGGGAGTGGAGGGTGGTGAGTGAGGAGTTGAGTGGAGAGTTAGTAAGAGGAGAGTAAGAGGAGAGTAAGAGGAGAGTAAGTGGAGAGTCAGCAGGTGACATGGCGACACCCACGCCCGCGCCACCCATGCCCTCGTCAGCAACTGACGTGGCGACGCAGCAGCGGCTGCTTGATCTGGCAGGGGCGATGATCCAGAGGAATGCGCAGAGCGAGGGGGGGCTGACATCAGGTGAAGGTGAGTTGGCGAGTGTCAGTTGTGAGGTCTTTTGCGTCGTCAAACTGCACTGCATGGCTGTTGGTACATGCAGCTACAACAGCAACCTCCACAGCCATGCAGTGCAGTTTGACGACGCAAAAGACCTCACAACTGACACTCGCCAACTCACCTTCACCTGATGTCAGCCCCCCCTCGCTCTGCGCATTCCTCTGGATCATCGCCCCTGCCAGATCAAGCAGCCGCTGCTGCGTCGCCACGTCAGCTGCTGACGCGGGCGTGGGTGGCACGGGCGTGGGTGTCGCAATGTCACATGCTGTCTCCATATCCCAGTCTTCTTCTGGCTCGCCCTGTCAGGGTCGTGCTTGTACTCTCGCACCTGATAGGGCAGGGCAACAGGGCAGGACATGGCAGGGCAGTGAGGAGAGGGAGCGAAAATGAGTGGGTGGTGAATGAGAGAGTGAAGAGTGAGTGAGTGAGTGAGTGAGTGACTGAGTGAGAGTGCGTGGAGAGGGAGAGAGCCTCACCTGAAAGCCCTTCTCTCTGGCGGCCACCTTAAACGTGTCCACCACTCGCTTGAAGAGCGTCACTGTGAAGAGCGCGTACTCGTTGTCCTCTGTTATCTTCTTAGAGGATTGGGGCACCTGGGAAGGGGTGAGATAGACAGGGAGGTGGAGTATGGAACATCGGGTGAATTTGAATGGTGAGACAATTTGAAGAGTGTCACAGTGAAGAACGCATACTTGTTGTCCTCTGTAATCTTCTTAGAGGATTGGGGCACCTGGTACGGGGAGAGAGACGAGGGAAGTAGGGCATGGAACATGGGGTGGATATAAATTGCGAGTCACGCTGCAGAGAGTAACAGTGAAGGGGAAAGCGCCTTGTAGGAGGCGAGCCAGTCCCTCTCTGAGTATTTAGCCATCACCACGAGCAGCGTGGTCATGTGCTCTGAGACGATGAAGCCATTCAGTGAGGGTGGATGTGCCCCGCCCTGGGAAGAGCAACACAATGATGGATGTGTATCACCTATACAAAACATACCTACCACGAAGGTGGAGAGCGTGTAGTGAGGTGTATTTTGAGGCGCCTCAAAATGTGCCCCGCCGTGGGAAGAGCAACACAATGATGGATGTGTACCACCTATTCAAAACGTGCAACACAATGATGATGGATGTGTACCACCCATTCAAAACATACTTACCACGAAGGTGGAGAGTGTCTCGTAGGAGGCGAGCCAGTCCCTCTCTGAGTATTTAGCCACCACCACGAGCAGAGTCGTCATGTGCTCTGAGACAATGATGTCGCTGTCCTGCACTATGGTGGAGAGGTCCCGCACCAACATGCTGCAGAAATGGAAGGGATGGAAGGGGTTGGAAAGGGATGGGACGGGATGGGAGGGGATGGGAGCGACAAGGAGTGGGATCAGATGAAAGGCAGAAAAAGAAAGGAAGAGCCGGGATGCCGACGGGATGGCATGGAGCGAGGGAAACGAAGCAATGAAGCTCAGAGGCTGTGATAGCAGTCCCATGCTATTCAATTCACCACAGAGACAATAAGCGGGACCACGTTGTTCAATCCATCCAGTCACGTCGGAGATAAGAAGAGAGATAAGTACAATGCCTTACCTGCCACCAGCCTTGCGGTTGATTGCACTGAGCTGGCTGCGCACTGTGGTGTACTCTGATGCCCGCACCTGGGTGGGGAAGGGGAGGGGGCGAATAGATACACGAGGGAGAAGAGAGTCAACTGAAGTCAACTGGAGTCAGCTGGAGTCAACCGTATGAAGCTGGCTGCGCACCGTGGTGTACTCTGACAGTCAGAGTACACGAATTAGACATAAAGGACGACCACCGCGTCAGAGTACACCACAGTGCGCAGCCAGCTTCATGATAAAATAAGACATAACAAACCTTGAGGTCGTCCGTTATCTTGGATACCGATTCCTGGATCAACTCCATCATCGGCGTGGTCACTAAGTAAGAAGTAACAAACACACACACACGCATTCTGTTAAAACATATCGAACCTTGAGGTCGTCCTCTATCTTGGAGACTGACTCCTGAATCGATTCCACCATCTCCCTTAGAGGCGTGGTCACCGGGTACTTGGCTTCATCCCACTGAAAGCTGAATCAGCACAAAGCAAGGGGAGTATTTGAGAGAAACATAGCAGGGAAAAGATCAGAATGTGACTCCTGAATCGACTCCACCATCTCCCTTAAAGGCGTCGTCACCGGGTACTTGGCTTCATCCCACGGAAAGCTGAATCAGCACCAGCCGAAGAAAATATTCAAGGGAGAAACAACAGGGAAAAGATAGCAGAATGTGTTTCGCGAAAGCGAGCAAGCCGTGGTATTCATGGATGTCAGTACCTCATTCAGGACGTTTCATGTGATTATTGTCTAAACAAGTGCACTCCACCGAGCTCATCTGGTCCGGTCTTTAAAGAGATGCATTTCAAAGTACCGACTGAGTGTTTCCACTCACTTGGTCATGTAGGAATCCACAGGAACGCCGTCGACAAAGAGAGCGCCAAAGTTGGTGCCCTGCACCCGATCCAGCTCCTCTATCTGCCGCCGTATCTCGAACGGACAACTCACAACTAATTCCGCCTGCTCACGAGTGACCTCGCTAGCTCATGAATCATCTCACTTGGTCATGTAGAAATCAAAAGGCATGCCATCCACCGAGAGAGCACCGGAGTTGGTGCCCTGCACCCGATCCAGCTCCTCTATCTGCCGCCGCATCTTGAACTGACCTGCTCACAACTCATTCCGCTCCGCCTGCTCACGAGTGACCTCGCTAGCTCATGAACTATCTCACTTGGTCATGTAGGAGTCGACAGGGACGCCGTCGACAGAGAGAGCACCGGAGTTGGTGCCCTGCACCCGATCCAGCTCCTCTATCTGCCGCCGCATCTTGTTTGCGACTCCCTCCACATGCGCACTTGCCTGGAATTAAAATACAACAAGAAACACGTGACAATATCTGAACTAATCAGATTCGACCACTGTGTAGGAGAGAGGGGGGAAAGAGTCAGGGGGTCAAACAAAGGATGGGAGAGAGAGTGCAAACGCGGACCAGGGAGGTACATTTTGCAATTCCCTGCCAATCCAAGCATCCATCCCGCTACCCACCTTGACGAGGTCGTCACTGAGGGATAGGAGCGAGTCGAGCGTGCCCACACGCAGACCAGGCACGTACAGCTGCGAGGCAGAGAGGAGGAGAAGCGAATCAGGCAACATCAAGGGCGGGACGGACGGGAAAGCAATGTGACGCTCGAGTGCAGAGTCAAGCGATGGATCACGGGAGAGTGCGGATCAGGATGCGGCTAGCCGAAACGCATGTTCCAATAAAAATCTGAATAAAGATGCGGCTATTCGTAAATGCAGTGGTTGCGACCAGACGTTTGCCATGATTGCCTTTTTATTCCAGAAACTCTGAACGATAGCTGCCGTCTGGAGAAACGGTTTCTACTGAGCTTGATATGGAAAACCGAAACCACGAATGTTTTCTAAACTGACATTGCTCGATCGAGACATCTGGTTTCGCAGTATACAGAAGGAAATACAAAAAAAAAAAAAACTGTCATCTTTAAGGGCCGAAAGATGCCGATGTTCCGCCGACATAGAGGTCTGAGCTGGCTACCTTATAATAGGGAAGGTCGGACAGAGATCTGTTGATGTTGTCCTGTAGTGCACCCCACGTGCTCTCCTTAGATCCGTGCAGCGGTAGAGACACGAGCCAATAAGGCCTCGACATCTGGCGATCCGAGGCGAGTGGAATGAGATCAGGGAACAGAGATTAATAGGGAGTCGACGAGGTGGGTGATTGGGGAAGATGATCGGATTTTACGAGCCTTCGCGATAATGCAAACAAGCATGGAACTGGAATGCATAGCTCATGATTGACCAAGCGATCTCGGCTTCTGGAAGAATATGAAGAGGTCGTAGCTTTTACCTCTGTGCTTTGCTCGCACACGACGGAGTTACGGCGGTGAGATGCGAGACGCGGAAAGGCCAACAGAGTCGAAGCGCCTATTGCTATCCTAAAGCGTAATAGACGGCGAGTTTATTACAAAATACAAATGCTCTTATGAAACAAAATGCCGATTCCTCGATATCTGTTTTCCCCCAGAACTGAACAATGAAATCATGACCGTTCACATGAAAATGCTCAGTTTATGTTTCAGAATCAGCAACAGTTTTGCTTGGGTTCGACATAGAGAACGGACGGTTGGGTTCGTGCTGTTTCGGTGATGTCCCAATTTGTGTACAGAATTCGTCCTTGCACAATCAGGGGGTGGGTGGGGAGCATGGGGAGGACTCGGGAATCCAGCAGAGATGCCTCTGGCGGAAAGGTCAGCGGAGCTGAAAGCGGGTGCCTGCGCAAGCCTGGAGAAGCCCGCGCTACTGCGTGGTTTTCACTGCTAGCCAGTGGCAAAATTCAGGGGCCTAGAGATGGTCTGGAGGCGGGAATCGCTGACAGGCAAGGCAGACATCTGACGACAAATGCTGGGATAGGAAGTTACAGTAACTCAGTGATAGCGAACGAACGACCGTTTTCGTCAATCATCGCAGTTCACTCATCCTGCAACACAACCAACCTCTTTCACACCACCAACCACCTCAAACAACCACTGGATTTGACCCAATCAATCGCACGGTTCGTGTCTTCCCTCCTGAACTAGGAATAGCCTCAACCACCCTCAGATTCACCGCAAGAGAGCATCCCGAACCATCTAAACCGGTTTTCGCCCAACCTAACCCAAAAGTGTCATGTTCGGCAGCAACTCCATTTTCGGAACCCTAGCTCTCTCCTCCGCCATTCTTTCTGCTTCACACACCTCAAAGGAGCTGGGATACAGGATACCAGCTTTTCTTGAAGGTGGAGTCCCCTAGGCTTTTCCTCCAGGTGAGAAGGTAGGCGTCTGCTGAACTGACTGGGTGCGGAAGTGCTGGGTGGGGAGAACAAGTGCTGCGATTCCTGCGGTCTTGATAGCCTGCTTCGTTTCTTTCGTTTCTACCTGTGGCTTTGTCTTCCTGAACCAGCCAGTGGGAAGAGCTGATTCACAGGTGTAGAGACATGGCGTCCACGTCAGCTTTCAAGTTCCTGAGTCAGCTCCCTGCGCCTAAGAACAAGAGCGTCTACGACGCTTCCTCGGACGCCTGGTTCGCGAATCGTGACAGAGATCCAGATGCTGCAGTTGGCGGAGCAGCAGCAGGGGGTAAGATTGTCCCTAAGCGCCAAATACCCCCTTACGGCAAGAGGCAAGGTTTTGTCCCACGGCGCGTCGAGGACTTCGGCGATGGCGGCGCGTTCCCAGAGATCCACGTGGCGCAGTATCCGTTGGAAATGGGACGGAAGCAGGAGAAGGTTACCAACAAGGTGCTTCCTGTGACTGTAGACGGGGAAGGCAATATCGCGTACGACGCTATAGTGAAGCTCGGAGAAAATTCGCAGAAGGTGGTGTACAGCCAGCACAAGGATCTAATCCCGAAGATCCAGGACGAGGATTTGGAAGCGCTTCGGGACGAAGAGGACGAGGATGAGATGAAGGAAACCGCGGAGCGAACCAAGGCAGCCATAGATAAGATCGTCACGGCTCGGCTCAGCGCGGCTCAGCCAAAGAACGTCCCCGGTATTTCCAAGACCCCGCAATACATTAAATACACTCCCGGTATGCAGAATTCTGCTCATAATTCCGGCGCGAAGGAGCGCGTTATTCGCATGGTCGAGATGCCGGTCGATCCGCTGGACCCTCCTAAGTTCAAGCATAAGCGCGTTCCGAAAGCGTCCGGCTCGCCGCCGGTCCCGGTAATGCACTCCCCGCCTCGACCGGTTACGGTAAAGGATCAGCAGGACTGGAAGATTCCTCCTTGCATTTCCAACTGGAAGAATCCTAAGGGGTATACTATTCCGTTGGATAAGCGTCTCGCGGCGGACGGTCGCGGGCTGCAGGAAGTGCAGATTAACGACAACTTTGCCCGCCTGTCCGAGTCGCTGTACGTCGCGGAGAATAAGGCGCGCGAGGAGGTGGAGATGCGGTCGAAGATTCAGCGGGAGAGGATGCTGCTGGAGAAGGAGAAGAAGGAGCAGGAGCTCCGCCTGCTGGCGCAAAAGGCGCGCATGGAGCGCGCAGGCGGAGGCACCGGCGGAGGCGGAGGCGGAGGGGCTGGCGGAGGCGCACTGGCTTCCCGTGAGGCTGCAGCAGGCGGAGCGGACGGCGGGTACGGGCGGGCGGAAGGGGACGAGCCCCGGCGCGGGGAGACGCGGGAGGAGCGCGAGGAGCGGATGCGGCGGGAGGCGCTGCGGGAGGAGCGGCGCAGGGAGCGGGAGCGGGAGCGGCGGCTCGAGGCGAAGGAAGGCGCGGGCGGAAAGAAAAGCAAACTCACGCGCGACCGCGACCGCGATATCAGCGAGAAGATGGCGCTTGGGCTCGCGAACGTGGGCGGCGCTGGCGGCGGCGGGGAGATTATGTACGACCAGCGGCTTTTCAACCAGGAGCAGGGTATGGAGTCCGGTTTTGCCGCGGACGACACGTATAATATCTACGACAAGGGGTTGTTTAACCGCGAGGGCGCGAGCGGGCTGTATAAGGTGCGCAAGGGGGTGGATGAGGAGGTGTACGCGGGGAGGGGCGGCGGGGAAGAGGGCGGCGGAGCGGACGCGCTGCTGCGCACGGAGCGATTCAAGCCGGATAAGGGCTTCGCGGGCGCGGCGGAGCGGGGAGCGGGCGGCGGCGGCGGGGCGCCGCGCGACGGCCCGGTAGAGTTCGAGCGCGACGCGGCGGTTGAGGCGGATCCGTTCGGGTTGGATCAGTTCTTGACGCAGGTGAAGACGGGGAAAAAGGCGCTGGATAAGGTGGGCGCGGGCGGAACCATGCGCGCGAGCGGAGGCGGGGGGAGCTACGAGGCTTACGAGGGGGGAAGCTCGCGAAACCGGGTTGATTTCGAGCGGGGTAGGTGAGGAGGGGATCTCGGGGGAAGGGGGGAGGAGGGATAAGGGGAAGGAGGAGGGCCGTGGGACTGGCTGGTGGGGTTTGAACGGGAGTGACAGCTGTTGAAGGGGGCCGGAGCGGATCCGTTCGGGCTGGATCAGTTTTTGACGCAGCGGTGGCGAAGGGAGCTACGAGGCTTACGAGGGGGGAAGCTCGCGGAACCGGGTCGATTTCGAGCGGGGGAGGTGAGGGGAGAGTCGCAGAGGAGGCGGAGGAGGAGTGGGGGTTAGTGTGCGCGTGAGCAGAGGCAGTGGGAGCTACGAGGCGTTCGAGGGGGGAGCTCACGGAACCTTGTGGATTTCGAGCGGATGAGAAAGGCGATATCATATGACGGTGATGGGGGTGGAGGATCTGGCGGGAGGGCTAAGGCAAGGTCAGGGCTGCATTTGAGGCTCCTCAAAAGAGGAGAGGGGTTGGATGAGGAAGGCGATTTGAATCTCAAGGGGTGGAGTGAGGTGATGTGTGGCCAGGGCTGTGTCTCAGGGCTCTCTGATCCGATGGCTGTCAGCCTGTCATTCATTATGCTTGATGCATTTTATTTCCAGGCTCTTGGTGAAAGTGTTTGTAGTTTTGACTGCTTTTTCCTGGCTGGCTGTTTGCTTGTTGACCTTTCCTCAACAGCTTTGGTCCTTATATTTCATTTTCTAAGAATCACAATACACAAACACTTCACCGAAGCCGGGCATATTTCTTGTGCCCTTGTTTAATCAATAATGGGTTTCATGCTGGAAAGCCAGAACGGCGAACACAATCACATAGGCGGTTGAGCTTTCAGCTGATCTCAGGTGGGGGTGGAGTTGAACACATAGTGAGGCTGATGTTGCGTCGTCTTGGCAGCAAGTCAACAACCCCATCCCACACGACAGGCTGCTCTGTCCTTCTCGGTTAGTCTCGGCACCTGCCCCAGCAGCCCACACGCTGCCATCTCATCGGCCCCCCCGGCTGTGCTGCAGATACGCCTTTCATCCACCTCCCCATGTACGGTACTCGTGACAGCCAACCACGACTCTACGCCACAGCTGCTGCTATGTCCTTCTCGATAAGTCTCGGCACCTGCCCCAGCTGCCCACAGGCCGCCATCTCATCGTCCCCTCGGCTGCCGTCTCTGCTGCCACTCTATGCTAAAGCTGCCATCTCTGACTTGTTCTGTTCTCTCGTAAGCCGTGGTACCTGCAACCTGCCCCAGCTGCCCACAGGCTGCCATCTCATCGTCCCCCCAGCTGTGCCGCACATAAGCCTTTCGGCGCTGCCCTCTCTTGAACAGCTAAGGAACAATTTTACACTACAGCTTCCGCCTCTGCCTTGTTCTGCCCTGTTAACCTAGGCACCTGCCCCAGCTGCCCACAAGCTGCCATCTCGTCGTCCCCCCGGCTGTGCCGCAGATACGCTTTTCTGCCCCCTTGCACGAGCTCATGCTGGAAAGCCAGCACGCGCGGGAGCGGGGATGGTTGCAGTGCGGTTCCCGGGTGTGGGTTGAAGACTATCAAGTTGATTTTGCAGGCGATGCCAGCTGTTAGGGTTACCAGCCGACGTGCATCCTCCAAACTGGAAAAGGGAGGGGGGAAGGGGGTGGGTCGGGTGGGGAAAGAACGGAAGTGGAAATTGAAGAATAGGGATTGAAAAAAGTCAGGTTGGTCGTGCGTGTGAAGACTGCTTTCAGGGTTACCAGCAGACACCAAACCGGAAAGGGAGGGGGGAAGGGGGTGGGTGGGGTGGGGAAAGAACGGAAGTGGAAAATGAAGCATAGGGATTGAAGACAGTCAGGTTGGCCGTGCATGTAAAGACTGCTTTCAGGGTTACCAGCAGACACCAAACTGGAAAAAGAAGAAAAACAAATACAGCATAGATGTCGTTGACCCTATCCAGCATCAGGTACTCAATGAACACATGGCGCTTCCTTTGAATAGCAAGGGGGTTCTCATAACACCACGCGTGGAACAGCACACGTGCAGGTGTGATGTAAGGGTTACTGCATGCATACCTGTCGTTGACCCTGCATGCATACCCTGCATGCATACCTGTCGTTGACCCTGCATGCATACCTGTCATTGACCCTGCATGCATACCTGTCGTTGACCCTGCATGCATACCTGTCGTTGACCCTGCATGCATTCCTGTCGTTGACCCCATCCAGCATCGGGTACTTGATGAACACATGCTGATGGTGGTGGACTTTTGAGTCCCCTTCATGCATGTTGTTTACGCGACTACTGCATACCTGTCGTTGACCCCATCCAGCATACCTGTCGTTGACCCCATCCAGCATCAGGTACTCCATGAGTACATACATGGTGCTTCCCATGACACCGTCCGGGTGCAAGGGCATGACGAACCTTTCAGGAGCCCACCTAAGGGTCAAAGCAGCATCAGGGCACAGTTATAGATCCTATCTGTACGCGTCCCTGTCGTTGACCCCATCCAGCATCAGGTACTCGATGAACACATGGCGCTTGCTTGGCTACTGGGAGAAACACAGGGAGGGAAGCAAAAACAGCACCCAGCTTCTGTGCAGCATACCTGTCGTTGACCCCATCCAGCATCAGGTACTCGATGAACACATGTCTTTTCCTAGACTGCTGCATTAGCCCCACACTGTGTGACCCACACCCTCCTTTGTGTCGCAAGGGGAACTAGAACGTACCTGTCGTTGACCCCATCCAGCATCAGGTACTCGATGAACAAATGTCTTTTCCTAGACTGCTGCATTAGCCCCACACTGTGTGACCCACACCCTCCTTTGTGTCGCAAGGGGAACTAGAACGTACCTGTCGTTGACCCCATCCAGCATCAGGTACTCGATGAACACATGTCTTTTCCTAGACTGCTGCATTAGCCCCACACTGTGTGACCCACACCCTCCTTTGTGTCGCAAGGGGAACTAGAACGTACCTGTCGTTGACCCCATCCAGCATCAGGTACTCGATGAGCACACACATGGCTACTGGTACTTGAGCCCACACTGACAAGTACCGGTCGCAAGGGGCACTCATAAGTACCTGTCGTTGACCCCATCCAGCATCAGGTACTCGATGAACACATGTCTTTTCCTAGACTGCTGCATTAGCCCCACACTGTGTGACCCACACCCTCCTTTGTGTCGCAAGGGGAACTAGAACGTACCTGACGTTGACCCCATCCAGCATCAGGTACTCGATGAGCACACACATGGCTACTGGTACTTGAGCCCACACTGACAAGTACCGGTCGCAAGGGGCACTCATACGTACCTGTCGTTGACCCCATCCAGCATCAGGTACTCGATGAACACATGGCGTTTTTTGGACTGCTGCTGCAACCCCGCACCATCCCTCCCATCACCTCCCTCCCCCACATCCGGTGCTGGCCGGGCTGTTGGGTCAGGGAAGAGCTGTATCAGGCAGGCAAAGAGGGCGCTGAGGTTGTGCTTTTTGTTTATGGGCATGATGCTGCTGCGCACCTGGTAGTTTGGGGAATGGTGTGGGGGGGGGGAGGGTGTTAGTGGTACAGGGGTAAGGGAGGGTATGATTCAGGGAAGAGGTGTCTCAGGCAGGCAAAGAAACTGCTGCGATTGTGGCTTTTGTTGGTTGGCATTATAGCGCTGCGCACCTGGTAGTATGGGGAATGGTGTGGGGGAGGGGAAGTGTTAGTAGTACAGGGGTAAGGGACGGTATGATTCAGGGAAGAGGCGTCTCAGGAAGGCGAAGAGGCTGCTGAGATTGTGCTTCTTGTTTATGGGCATGATGCTGCTGCGCACCTGGTATGGGGAATGGTGGGGTGGTGGGCGTGGGGGAGTGGAAGGGATTGTGTTATGACTATATGATATAGGGGACGAATTGTCTCAGGGGTAGAGGCTGCTGAAGTTGTGCTGCCTGTTTAATGGGCGTTATAGCACTGCGCAGGCAAGCAGTCCCCTCTAAAGGAGGCCCGGGACTAACAGAAAGAGGCACAGAACCCAGTGAAGTGAAAGAAGCACATACCTCGTCGGTGGTGGCGTGCAGGCTGAGAGCAAGACTAGCGCCCAAGTGAGAGCAGAAATCGTGCATCTCAGGACAAGCCCACACGTGGACACGGTGGTGGGAGCAGTGGGCGCCTAAAGGGGGTCAGGGGAAGACCTCAATGTAACAACAAGGCCGTACCCACCTCGTCGGTGGTGGCGTGCAGGCTGAGAGCGAGGCTGGCGTCCGAGTGGGAGCAGAAATCCACCATCTCAGGCGTGAGCCCACACGTGGACACGGTGGTGGGAGCAGAGGGTGTGGGGTAGACATTGGACCAACCTCAATGAAGGCGCCCACCTCGTCGGTGGTGGCGTGCAGGCTGAGAGCGAGGCTGGCGTCCGAGTGGGAGCAGAAATCCACCATCTCAGGCGTGAGCCCACACGTGGACACGGTGGTGGGAGCAGAGGGTGTGGGGTAGACATTGGACCAACCTCAATGAAGGCGCCCACCTCGTCGGTGGTGGCGTGCAGGCTGAGAGCGAGGCTGGCGTCCGAGTGAGAGCAGAACTCGTGCATTTCAGGCACGAGCCCACACGTGGACACGGTGGTGCGAGCAGGTGAGCAGTGGGCGCCTAAGGGGTCCAGGAGGGTGTTGCATGCTGTGAGAACCGCCGGGAGATTGTGTAGGGGCTCGCCCATGCCCTGAAGGGGTGGAAGAGGCAAGCAGTGGGAAACAGGGTTGAAGTCAAGCCCACATGTGGACACGGTGGTGCGAGCAGGCGAGCAGTGGGCACCGAGGGGGTCGAGGAGGGTGGTGCATGCTGTGAGGACAGCCGGTAGATTGTGTAGGGGCTCGCCCATACCCTGAGAGGAAGGGAGGAGCTGCAGGGCAAAGAGGAGAGGAAGGATACAAGGGTATGGAGCAGGGCTGAGGGAAGTGAGAGCTGGTGAGAAGTGGGCGCCCAGAGGGTCCAGGAAGGTGTTTACGCTGTGAGGACTGTCGGGAGGTTGTGTATGGGCTCGGCCATGCCCTGAGAGGAAGGGAGGAGTGCATTGCAAAGTGGGGAAGAGTAAAGAGAGATTGAGCAGTTGCATGCAGTGCTGTGCGGTGCTCTGGAGTGCAGTGTTTGTGTTTTACCTTGCAGTGTTGGCATGAAAACCCACCCACCATGAAAATGAGGCTGCTGACGGGCCCCACTTGCTCTGTGAAGAGGCGGCGAATCTCCCCTGCTGAATGGTTGCGCTGTGCTGTGCAGTTCAGAGCAGTACTGTCCGGAGCAGTGCGGTGCAGTGCAGTGCAGTGCGGTGCAGTTATTGGTGAAGAGCCTGCGAATCTGAACCACCTGATCCACAGCCTCCCTTGCTGTCATGGTGCTGGGCTGTGCGGTGCAATGTGCTTCAGCGTGGTACTGTGCTAAGCTGTGCGGTACTACACGGTGCTGACTGGGTGACCCACCCACCATGAAGACAAGGTTGGTAACGGGGCCGACTTCCTCTGTGAAGAGCCGGCGAATCTCAACCACCTGATCCACGATCTTCCTGCGGGAGGATGCTCTGCCATGCGGTTCAGTGTGGTACTGTGTTGTGATGAGCGGCTCCATGCGGAACCCTGCGGTGCGGTAACTTGTGACTGACCATGAAGACAAGGTTGGTAACGGGGCCGATTTCCTCTGTGAAGAGCCGGCGAATCTCAACCACCTGATCAACGATCTCCCCTGCTGTCAGGTTGCGCTGCAGGCCCATCCTGAGAGCAGGGGAAGAGCATGTTGGGATGAGACAACAAGGGACGAATGGTTGATATGACAAGGGAGTCTCTTGAAGGGACAGGAGTGTTGAATCTCAACCACCTGATCCACGCCACGATCTCCCCTGCTGTCAGGTTGCGCTGCAGGCCCATCCTGAGAGCAGGGGAAGAGCATGTTGGGATGGGACAACAAGGGACGAATGGTTGATATGACAAGGGAGTCTCTTGAAGGGACAGGAGTGTTGAATCTCAACCACCTGATCCACGCCACGATCTCCCCTGCTGTCAGGTTGCGCTGCAGGCCCATTCTGTGAGGCAAGCACGAGAGGAGAAGGAATGGGTGTGTTGGGGTGACAAGGAATAGATGTGCTGAAACCACAGGTGGCGGATCTGAACCACCTGATGGAAAATCTCCCCTGCTGTCAAATTTCTCTGCAGACCCATTCTGTGGTAAGAATAAGAGAAGATTTTGCTGAGACGATGGGGGAGGGGTGTGTTGGGATCATAACAGGTGAATGTTTGAAGTGGAAATTATCTAAATCACTAATCCCATGCATACTTGGCTATGAAGCAGAACTGGCAGCCCATGGCACAGCCCAGCTGAGTCGACACGCACACAGTGATCCCTCCCACCCTTACTCTTGGGATGACCAGGAACACTCACACACTGTATTGCATGTCTGCGTGCACACACAAAAAAAACAAACCTACTTGGCTGTGAAGCAGAACTGGCAGCCCATGGCACAGCCCAGCTGAGTCGACACGCACACAGTGATCCCTCCCACCCTTACTCTTGGGATGACCAGGAACACTCACACACTGTATTGCATGTCTGCGTGCACACACAAAAAAAACAAACCTACTTGGCAGTAAAGCAGAACTGGCAGCCCATGGCACAGCCCAGCTGAGTCGACACGCACACAGTGTTCCGCCCCCCTTTACTCCTTCTCCTGCTGCTCCCACTGCTGCGGGTGCTGCTCCCGCCAGCCCTATTGCCACATGTCCTGTTCATACCAACCCCCTCTACCTCATCCTCACTACCACTCTCCTCCTCTTCTTCCTCCTCCTCCGCACCTTCCCCCCCCTTCCCCGGTCTGTGGGGAATGAGCACTGTTTCCACTACGCCTAGTCTCCTGGGGCGGTCAGAAGGAGACAAGTCAGCATCGCGGCTTAACTCAAACAGCACCTGGAACGGGGTGCATAAAGAGTGGGTTGCGTGGAGTGAAGAAATATTTGGAAACTGACTGATTAGCTTCATTCATGTGCCAGTGGTTACATTGAAGCGCCGCGTGGTTACATCCCTGCGCCACGTTGTTACACTCAAGCGGCGCCACGTGGAAACACTGATGCAGCAGAAAGCTACTCTCGTTCTCCTGTCCCTAGGGAAGAGCTGAGCTGTATGCGAAACGAAAGTGGCTTTCTGTTTCCAAGTGAACTGCGTTACTGCGTGGTTCCTTCTATGTGTGACACTCACTCGCTCATAACCCCAAAAGCACTCACTTTCTTTGGGCCGTCGGCTGCGATTCGAATGGAGTGCAGGCGAAGGGAGGAGAAGCGGCAGCAGGGGCGAATATGAGCTGCGGACTGTGTTCCTGTGGGGTTTCCCTAACCCCACTCACCTTCTTTGTACCGTCGGCGGCTGTTCGAACGGAGTGGAGGCGAAGGGAGGAGAAGCGAGCACCCGAAGAGGCGAGGAGGGAGAGAAACGAACGACTGACCCCTGCAGCGCGAACATGCGAGTTCGGGAATTCGGGAAAATGAGTGAGCGATGACAATGGGAAGGCAAAGGAGCCAATGAGACGTCTCAAGCTTCGCTGGGAAGGCAATGGAGAGGTGAGGGAGGAAAGAGCAACTGACCCTCGCAGGCAAGCAGATTAGGGGATTCAGGAAATTGGGCAATGGTTCTAGGAGGGATAGTCTTAGTAGGGATGTTTTTTAGAGTCCCTGAAAATTCTCACATTGAAGTCTCAAAAGAGAGGAATGGAAGGAGAACGGGTTTAGAAAGTAATTGTCAGCAGCTAGTGCAACCACATCGTCAACCTGATCAGCCACGTCATCACTGCACCTGACACGTCACCAACCTCACCTGCCATGTCATCGACGCTCTCAGCCCAGTGGGCGTCTCGATACAGCCACTTCCAGAGGACCTTTGCCCGCCTCCTGTGCTCCTCCCCGCACTCCGCTGCCACCCAGTCCTGCAATATAATCACGACACGCACAATCGCAATCCACACCCGTTAAAAGACATTCTCGCGTTTCCAGGCCCAACCCAGCCATCCCTTCCCACTACTCTTTCTCCCAGATTATGCTGGAGATTTTTGAAATTTCTCAAATGCCCTTCCCCCCCCCCCCAACCCCGCATGCTCAAAGGCGCGTATCGCACTCACCTCTAGTTGCTGGAAGCTCATGTCTTTAAGATACACGGGTGCGCGGTCTAAAGCTCGTTCTAGAGGCGGCTCGGCTTCTGCTAGTAGCGGAGCGCTCATCGCAGCTGTTCCGGCCTCTGATTGGCTCCTCGCTGACACGCTTCGCAGAGCCTGGTCGTAGAAACCTCCAGGCGACGGGTTACCGTGCGACAGACCTTTATGCGACAAGATGTGCGACAAACCCCTGTGCGACACGTTTCTGTGAGACAATCGGCTGTGCGATGAGCCCCTGATCGACGCATTACCAGACGAGATTTGACAGAAAAGATGGTTAGACACATTATGACGGCCGTTGTGATTGCCAAAGCGGGTGATATTGAAGCTGCTGAGAACGCGACCCGACAACTGACTGCGCGACACGTAATTAATGGCCATTCTGGGGCTTATGCAGGTCCAGGGACGAGGAGTAACGGTCGCAGGCTCGGAAAAGCTAGGTGATGCGGTTTGGGTGTGAGAACAATCATGACATTATCGAGGAAAGAAGGGTGCGCAGATATATGATGCATCATTCTCCGATATTTCTGCGCACTCTCGGAGAAGTCGGTGGTGCTGTGCTTTTATTGCATACACTCCAAAATATAGAATCGCAATTAAATATCAGCCCTTCCCTTGTTTCATCAACCCACATATTCAGCCAGGTGGGACCTGCACACCTGTAAGGAGTTTTTCGGATTCCTTACTGGGTCACACTGTACGCGTACAACCCTGACTTTCGGAAAACCAGGCTCGGTCCGCCGACCTCGCCTTCCGAGCCACTACCGCGTCGCCTTCGGGTTTCCCAACCCCGAACCTGCACCCAACCATCTCGCGACCCCGCGACCTCGGCCTAGCTAGCTTCGCTATATTAGTCCTAGGCCTCGTTGTGTTCTCAGACGTTGTAATCACTTCCGTATTATTGAGTTCTGCGCACTCTTCCTTTCACAACTCATAACACTTGGTATCAGAGCCTAATTTCCTAGGTTACCCTCGCGTTTCCGGGGTAGTTTGTAGAAGGGGAGCGATAGACTTGGTGGGCTGTTAAGCGGTCGGCCCGTGGAATAGATCCGATTATTCCACTCCGACTACGATAGCATTAACGCCTTCACCGAAGTCAGAAAAATCGCTAGCCACCCCCTGCCCGTTAGACGAAGCTTGTGACACATGGACCAGGCGGAGTTCAACGAGTTCATGCAACAGTTCTGCATGATGCAGGCCAACATGCAGACGATGTCTGCAGAAATGGCGCGTCTTCGGGAGGAAAACGCCGAACTACACCAGGCGCGTGGTGAAGCGCGCCAGGAGTCGCCTGTTGTGGACGACGCAAGTAGCAGCACTGCACCAGATCAGCAGGTCTGGAGCGAGCTGGAAGGCGAGATGGATGCGGACGAGGCGAGGCAGGCGCAGCAGCAACAGTTACCGCAACAGTCGCGTGCTGCACCGACACGTGCAGCGGCGACGACGACGGCGACGCCGGCAGCAATGCCAACGACCCCGATGGTAGCAACGGCTTTTGTTAAAATCAAGCCGACAAACCCGCCCCCGTTTAACCCAAGTGACAAGTTCGTCATTGTTTCCGCATGGTTGTTCGGCGTGGAGGTGTTTTTTAATGCTGCCATGATTTTATCAAAATACTAGGAAGAGGTGGGCTTAGGAGCCAGGGCTTAGGGGCCTTGGTGGTTGAGGTTCGAGTGAGTTTAGTTAGGAGAAATATCGAGAGGAATGATGTTTCACTAGAATGGCAAGTACATATAGGCAAACAGCAACACAAGGAGGTGCACCACCAAACATGATGCAATGTCTACACTACAACTGCAAACTAATATATAAAATATGTAACCATATTTTGACACGCCCCCATAATTGATTGTAGGAGTAAGTGTAAAACGCCCACTCTGGTAAGTGTAAACCGCCCACGCTGGTCATCCACTCCATCCCCTCACCCTCCCCCTCCCCTTACCCCTCCCCTTCCCCCTCCCCCACACATTGCTGCAGGAGCAGCAGAGGGGGGAAGAGAGGAGAGGTGGAGGGACTGCGGCTGGGTGGTCTCACACCCGCCACCCCAGTGCCACTCCCCGGGCTCCCCCACACCCTCACACCCTCCCCCCCCAGCGGCAGCTGCAGCAGAGGGAACAAAAGGAGGAGGAGAAGGGGGGGGGGGGGGGGGGGGGGGGGCCTATGCACGGCCTCCCCGGGCGCCAAAGCAGGCGGCAGAGGGGGCGACGCCTGCCCCCCCCTTCCAGGGCCCCCTCAGGTCGCCTCGACAGGTGACGGGAAAAGGGGGGTGAGCGGTGTACGTGCCCCCGGTGTGCCGCGGCTGGCGACAGGGCATGGCCGGGGCGTGGTCGGGGCCGCAAGTGGGCGGGGCCGCAGGTGGCATCGAGGCCGCGGGTGGCGACGGGGCCGAAGGAGGCGATGGGGCCGCAGGAGGCGACGGGGCCGTGGTGGGCGACGGGGCCGTAGCAAGGGGCGGCGGGGCCGCAGCGAAGGGCGGCGGGGTCGTAGTGAAGGGCGGCGAGGCCGCGACGTAGGGCGGCGGGGCCGCAGGAGTAGGGCGGCGAGGCCGCAGAGTAGGGCGGCGGGGCCGCGACGTAGGGCGGCGGGGCCGCTACAGTAGGGCGGCGGGGCCGCGACAGCAGACAGGCGGCGAGGCCGCGACAGTAGGGCGGCGGGGCCGCGACAGTAGGGCGGCGGGGCCGCGACAGTAGGGCAGCGGGGCCGCGACAGTAGGGCACACCACGGGGCGTGCAGTACACTCAGTAGCAGCGGAAGCAAGAGGCCAGGAACGTACCACTCTCTGATAGCATATCAAAAAACTAGGAAGAGGTGGGCTTAGGAGCCAGGGCTTAGGGGCCTTGGTGGTTGAGGTTCGAGTGAGTTTAGTTAGGAGAAATATCGAGAGGAATGATGTTTCACTAGAATGGCAAGTACATATAGGCAAACAGCAACACAAGGAGGTGCACCACCAAACATGATGCTATGTCTACACTAAAACTGCAAACTATTATATAAAATATGTAACCATATTTTGACAGATTTATGACGATGCCACCCGCATTAATTTCGCAGATTCACTGTTGCGAAGACCTGCGCTGGAGTGGTGGAGGCGAACGCTGCAGCACGAAGGGACTTCGGCAGGAATAGCACGTGCAAACGACGGGACTTCAACACCTGTCACGCATCAGGCAGCATCAATTTTTGGGACGGCTACGATACGCACATGGAGGGAGTGGGGCGCCGCCTTGCGAACCAGGTTCGAGCACATATCCGCCTCGGACTCTGCTCGCATGAAGCTGCGTGCCTGGAAGCAGCTGACTTCGGTCCAAGACTACACCAACATGTTCTGCAACTTGGCGAACCAAGTGGACGACATGAGCGATGAGGAGCGGTTGGATCGCTACGTGGCGGGCCTGAAATACGAGATACAGTATGAGGTCCGACGAACCCGGCCACGCAGCTTCAACGACGCCGTCCAAGAAGCCGAGTCAACGGATGCGCTGATGCAGTGGGCGAGATCGAGCTCCCGGGAGGGCCCTCGATTTCGTGGATCGACTCAGCAGCCCACGATCAACGGCGTGGATGCACCAAGCCGAGCCCTTGGGCCGTGCTTTTTATGCAACCAGCTGGGCCACCTGAAAAAAGACTGCCCGAGGCTTAAGCAAGGGAAGAAGAACGACGGAGAAGGGTCGGGAAAAGAAACGAGTCAGTAGCAGAAGGGCCACCTACTGACGAGACCCTGTCGCCCGACAATCACCATCCACACCGGGTCGTGGTACAGATCAGAGCTATCGACCAGAACCGGACGAATAACGTGGGTGAACACGTGGACTACCCTGTGCTGGTGGTAGGGAGGGTTAACAGTTATAAAATAAAAATATTCGTTGATAGTGGGGCGAGCCACAGTCTCGTCAACCTGGCAACGGCCAAAAAAATTGGGGTGAAGCTGACTAGGTGTTTGCCGGAGATTGACGCAAGGCTGGTGGACGGGACACCACTGGCCATCCGAGATGAGGCGCGAAAAATTCGGATACAGTGTGGCGACAAATTCGGGTTTGGCATGAAGATGTTGACGACAACGTTGGACAGCTGCGATGTGCTACTGGGAAGAGATTGGCTGCAGCGGTTCAATCCGACGATCGACTGGACGACTGGGGCGTGCGTCGTGCGAGGATACGGAGGGAAGACGACGCTTCCGAAATGGACGGAGCCGGAGCCGGTGACGACACGTGTCAATGCGGTCAACATGGCGCGAGCGATGAACAGCGGAGCTCAAGCCTTCTTGGTGCACCTGTACGAGGTGACAACTTCCGAGAAAATCGCGGACATCGACACCCTCTGCGCAGCAGTCCCCGAGGAATTGGCGAGCATTATTCGGAGATATCCCAAAATTTTCGTGGACGACCTCCCGGACGGCTTGCCCCCCCAACGACCTGAGGATCATCGGATCCAGCTGGAGCTCGGCGCGCAACCTACTGTTTGGACACAGTGGCGGCTCAGCCAACCAGAGCTCGCCGAGTTGCGGGCCCAGCTGGATTACCTGCTCGCCAAGGGATTTATCCGAGCAAGCACGTCGCCGTATGCATCGCCGATACTGTTCACACCGAAGAAGGACGGGGGCCTACGCATGTGCATCGATTATCGGGCGCTGAATCGGGTCACAATAAAATCGTGTTACCCGATCCCGCGAACCGACGATCTGCTGGATCAACTTCGCGGAGCTCGGTATTTCTCGAAAATCGACCTGCGAGGAGGCTACCACCAAATTCGCGTGTTCGCCGACGACTACCCGAAAACAGCTTTTCGCACACACTACGGCAGTTACGAGTTTACGGTGATGCCGTTCGGACTGACAAACGCGCCCTCAACATTCCAGCTCACAATGAACGGAATTTTCCGGGACATGCTGGACAAGAAGGTCATCGTGTATCTGGACGACATCCTGGTGTACAGCGCGACAAAAGAGGACCATCTGCAGGATTTAGAGGAGGTGTTCCGGCGTTTACAGGGGCATCGGTTGATTACGAAGGGGTCTAAGTGCGAGTTTCTGAAGCCGGAACTGGAATTTCTGGGGCATGTGGTTTCTG